CCCGAACTTATTTTATAAATAATTTTCTACCCCTTTTTGGCCTACGTGGCACTATCAATGAAATAATTGTCAACACACGCGGGGCCCAAAAAATAGTGCCACGTAGGCCGAAAAGGGGTATACAATTATTTATAAAATAAGTTCAGGAGGGTAATAGGACCTTAGTATAGTATAAGTGTATCTCTGAGATTTCGGGCATAGGTTGGGGGTACTTATGCATTTTCTCTAAATTTTATAGGTAAATGAGTGGGAATTTTTTTTTGACAATCTAAAAATAATTTTTTTTTTTTTTCAATCATGTTAAACCTAAAGGGTATTTCTTGGTCATTTGCGTATCAGTAAGCATATATGCACTTTTACAATGAGAGTATATCAATTCTGAATCGCAAAGTTGAGGTATGAGACTCTTTTCCCTTTATTAAAAGCAAATAAGTCGAACAAAAGGTCGGCCCAAAAGTGACCAGCCCAGCTCAATACCACAATGTTGAAATAGGAAAAGAGCAATTTCTTAAATATGAGCAACATCTATTTCAAAGTTTGCGCATAAGGAGAGGAGCACCATACTGTGGACGAATAGTAAATGATGCAACTGGAGCATGTGTATAAGACGGAGAGAGTTCGAAGGAGAACTTTTGTAGAATCATTGCTATTGCCATTTTTGCTTCTATCATTGCAAAGTTTTGTCCGATGCAAACTCGAGGTCCCCCGGAAAATGGAATAAACGAGAAGTGTCCTTTGGTTGCCTTTGACACTCCTTCACTGAACCTTTCTGGTTTGAATTCCTTCGCGTCTTCACCCCATAATTCCTTGTCATAATGAATTAATACTGTAGGTATAAAGAGTAGCACTCCAACTGGTAGACTCAGATCCCCTAATTTGACTTCATCTTTGTTCCTTCTACGATATGTAGGTACTGGGGGGAATAGCCTTAATGTCTCGTGCAAGATCATTGTCACCTATATATGAAAAGAAAAATGTATTGCATAAGTTGGAAGTAGAATTAGTTCACTTCTTACAAAATTTAGATGTCATACCTTTCTGAGATATTTAGT